TACTGAACTTGAAGTTGCAATGCCCTGCTCGCTAAATTTTATGATGCTGCCCTTGAGAAAATACACGGGACATGTATCCTTTATACATGTACAGTTCAATGACATTGATTACATTCTTCCAGTGCTGCAAACGTTTTTACCATTTGATGCTCCTCCTTCATCGACATAGACTCAGTGCCCACTTCCCATCCAATCTTTATAGTTGTTGTCCATTTGATCCCATCGAGATAGTTCTTTAAAAGCATGTGCTCAGGGCAGGCATTCTTCACTAACTCAGTGACACTGCTGCTTGCTTTAAAGAGCCCCAGTGGGGTCTACCATTGGCCGCCCCTGTGCAGCATTCCTTCCTTTCTCTACCCTTATGTGTGGCCTGCGGGTCTCCAAGGGTCTGCGCAACCTTGGAGAGGCCTGGCTGCGCGCGCGCGGGCATCGTGCGCTCAGAGGGCGCTGGGAGCTGAGAGAGTCACAGCATGGCAGAGAACCGGGGAGGAGCGGAGGCGGGACTGGAGCCCGTGGAACACACCCTTTGGAAGCGGCTTCCCCACTGCCTGCCCCGGAGGCCCAATGACATCTACTTCAACATGAAGACGGATTTCAAGGCCCAGCTGGCCCGCTGCCAGAAGCTGCTGGACAGAGGGTCGCGGGGTCAAAATGCCTGCCCTGAGATCTGCATTCACAGCCTGGGCCTAGCCATCAACCGCGCATAAACTTCGCGCTCCAGCTGCAGGCAGGTAGCTTCGGGGCTTTGCAGGTGGCCGCCAATACGTCCACCGTGGAGCTGGTGGATGAGCTGGAGCCAGAGACCGATAGTCGCGAGCCACTCATCCGCATCCGCAACAACTCAGCCATCCATATCCGGGTCTTTCGGGTCATACCCAAGTAGCAGAAATGAAGTTGGAACCCCTTCGGCCTCCACCCCCCCCACAGTTCGGCTGAGAGGTGGCTCTCTGTACTCAGGACTTCCGGGACCCACCGCGCAATGACTGAATTGGAAGGAAGGAAATGGACCGATACCAGGGGAGTAGCTCGAGTCTTCGTAGTTTTTAACTGTTGTTCATGTAATAAAAACTACCACTTTTTTTTCTTTTTTTCTTTTTTTTTCTTTTTTTTTTTAATTTTTTAAACATTTTATTAGGGGCTCATACAACTGTTATCCCAATCCATACACACATCAATTGTGTAAAGCGCATTTGTACATCGTTTCTCAAAACATTTTCTCACCATTAAAACCCCCGACATTAGGTCCTCATTTTTCCCCTCCCTCCCCGCTCCCCCCTCCCACATGAACCCTTGATAGTTTATAAATTGGTATTTTGTCACATCTTGCCCTGTCCGACGTCTCCCTTCACCCACTTTTCTGTTGTCCGTCCCCCAGGGAGGAGGTCACATATAGTTCCTTGTAATCGGTTCCCTCTTTCCTACCCACTCTCCCTCTACCCTCCCAGTATCACCACTCACACCACTGGTCCTGTAGGGATCATCAGCCCTGGATTCCCTGTATTTTCAGTTCCTATCTGTACCAGTGTACATCCTCTGGTCTAGCCAGACTTGCAAGGTCGAATTCGAGTCATGGTAGTGGGAGCGGGGAGGAAACATTTAGGAACTAGAGGAAAGTTGTATTTCTCATCGTTGTTACATCGCACCCTGACTGGCTCATCTCCTCCCCATACCCCTCTGCAAGGGGATCTCCAGTGGCCTACTACTGGGCTTTGGGTCTCCACTCCGCACTCCCCCCATCATTCACTACGGTAAGATTTTTTGTTAAAAGTACCACTTTTTATTGTGTTAAAATAAAATAAAAATAAAGAACCCCAGTGGCTTATCAGGCTATGCATTGGGCTGCTAACCACAAAGTCAGCAGTTTACATCCACCAGCTGCTCCAAGGGAAAAAGATGAAACTTTCTGCTCCCGTAAAAATGTACAGCCTCGAAGTGCCTCGATGCCCCCCTCAAAGTGACATGATGGGTTTTGATCTGTCGGGCAAGGATCTGAACTTAGAAGAATTGGTTTGAAAAGTTTTCCCCTGGTACCTATCCCCATGCTTAAGGTAAACAGATCAATCGAATGGGAGATGGAACTGTGTAGAGCAACAACTCATGCATGGGTTGGGGTGCATGGCGGAAACATACTCACATAGACATCTCGTCCCTACAGTGTTCAGAGTGATGTGTCATTGGGAAAAATGATGATGATGTTACCAATGCAAAACGCCTTATGCCCCAGGGGGTATGACTGACAATGTTTCACTTTTCTGTTTTTATGAGTTTTGTTTTGTTTTCCTGCCTTTGGCTTGCTTGTTTTTGTTTGTTTTGTTGTCTACTAGTTGGTTTGTTGCTATTGTTGGGGTAGTTGTTCTTATGGATCTTTGTCATAATACGACTGGCAAAGTAAACCTGAGTCATGCATATGCCAGGGGCAAGCAGATGAATTCTGGGCCCCCAATTAACGCTAGACCACTTCAAGAACAGTTAACATGGCCCTGTTTGATACTCACCTTCATGAAATGATCACTGAAGATAAGGGTGCTATAGCAAAGTGTGGTGAAGGAAACAGGTGGTGCTCGGCTATCAATTAGGATCGTTTCTGAGGTCTTAAAGGCTTGTATTCAAACAAGGATCTAAGTGAGGAGTGAACTAAGTCCACATGGAAGAAGCACACCAGGCTGTGTCATCCAAAGACAACAATAACAAGATTCAAATATGACAAAGGGAAAAGTTATCAGAGCCTAAATTGTGAACACCCAATTTGTAGAAGGTTATGGAGGGCAATGGGATCCCTAAACTGATCTGCAGAGTGTCTAGTCAGATTAAGCCAATGACAGGGCCCCTCTAACCCCTGGCAGGGGTCTCAAATAACTTTACTATCAGCTGGAGATCATTGTAACCTTTATTATACTGTATTGAATTTGATACTTTGTCAGTGGACCTCCCTCTTGACCTGAAATTGTTCCAGATGGAAGTATTTCTTGCTTGTTCCATGACAAAAATTTCTTCCCTGGCCTTTTAAATGCAGATGGTGGTCTTTTCTTTCTTACTCATTTGTATTTTTATCTTTGTATTATTATTATTTTATCCTTACCATTTTACTTTGTTTCTGTTTTTTATTGTTTCTATTGGGTTTTCCAGTTTGTGAAGCACAGAAGGAGTAGATGCATAGTGTTTAAAGGGGAGGTGGGAGTGGGGAAATGGGGAAGGTGAAGGAGTTGGAGGAACAAAGTAGGTGGGAGAAGGGAGCACTAGAACTGACTGTGATTACACAACTCATTTAAAAAGCGATTAAACTATGAAAAAAAGTTCTAAAATTGATTGGAGTAATGATTGTCTAATTCTTGATATGACTGAACTATTGAATTGTATGATATGTGGATTATATGCCAATAAAACTGTAGAACAATTTTTTTTGCATCCTGAGAAAGTTATAGCAACCCCGTGCTGTGAGTCAGAATCTACGTGATGGCAGTGGGTTTGGGATTCAGCTCAGCTCAAGCTCCCTGCCATTGAGTCGATTCTGATTCACAGCGGCCCTGTATGACAGGGCAGAACTGCCCCTGCGAGTTTTCAGCGCTGTAACTGCTTACAAGAGTAGAAAGTCCTGTGTTTCTCCTAAGGAGCGGCTGGTGGTTTCAAACTTCTGACCTTGGAGCTCACAGCCCAACTCGTCACCGTGCCCCCAGGGTACTGGTTGGTTTAAAGCAGGGGTGTCTAACTGGTGGCCTGCAGGCCACATGCAGCCCCCAAGGTAATTTTTTGTGGCCCAAGATGCTCTGAAATAAAAGGAAAATAGAAAAGACTGTTATGAAGAAAATAGTGCTTAGGGGAGATCGAGGCAATTGCCGTACACACACTTCCCTCGTTAGCCCTTTAACTACTGAAGACAAGTATACACGTGGCCCAGTGCCTTTCCTAGGGGCCTGTGGATATGTACAAACATGCTGACTCAGTTCCGGCGGCGTTTGGAAGCGATATATCTGCCACTTCTCAGTGTCACGTAATGTAAACAGATCCCAATAGGGAAAAAGTTAAAAAGAGCACTCTGGGTTGTGCTGTTATGAATCATACCTAGCAGCAGTGCTAGTTAAAACTTTTAGAGGGAAGCCATTGTGTGAGCAACTATTTTCGTCCATGAAATTAAATAAAACGGCATACAGATCAAGATTAACTGATAAACATCTATCTGCCTTAATGAAGATTGTTTGTCCTCAGTCTTTCAATCCAGATATTGGAAAACTAGTAGGAGGGAAACTCTGGCAGGTTTCAGGTAAAAAATAATAATTTTAGTTTTATAAATACATTAAATAAAATAAATGTTTAAATAAAAGCAATTATATAGTGTTTTAATTATCCTATCCATATTCCTGAAGCCTCACTTCAAAATATAAATTTAACAAAATTTGTGAATGTGATGTGGCCCGCGTGAAACTTGCGTGTTGCACCAAATGGCCTGCGTTTTTGTTTTGTTTTTTTTGTCAAGACAAATACTGTTTTCATTTGAATGAAGGAACAGAAAATTAAAAGAAAAAAGTTTTAACTATATGCTGCTTCCCCCTCTACTTGATTTTGTGGACACAATCATAAATGTTTTCGGCCAGTGAGCTTTCTGATGGGTGGTGCTCAACCTGAAGTCCACTGCATGGCAGGGGACTGTAGTCTTAGTTGGGGTTAGCTAATACATTTACAAATGAATCCAGACACTCTGACACAGCCCCACTCCTCTTAAAACTCGAATTAAATGTCAGTGTATGACAAGAGTCCCCACACTCAGTCGTGCTAGATGATGGAGCTGTGTACATGGTGGTGAGGGGAAAAGTTTGTCACAACTTCTGGAAAGTCTCCCTTCTCCCCATCTTCCATATTACTCAAGTGAGTGAGCAGGGGCTCCTGGCGGATCTGGTTAGCCTCTAAGTCCAGCGATTCCAGGTGCTCATACTCTTCCTCTAGGGACTTGTTCCCCAGGGCCCGTCAGTGGGGAAGCCCACACATACAACCCATGCTCCAGGGAGATGTTGTGGCTGGACTTCTCGGGCCGAGTACTGCAGGGCCCCCTGGGAGCCATCCAGGCAGTGGAAGTGGGAGTAGAGGGTTCAGGAAGTCTTCTCAATCTCACTGTGAGTGGCAGAATGGACCATATCGTAGCGATATTCGGCTGGTGTTTTAGGAATGTGAAGCGGGGTCATGAGCCAGGTGTGGAGGAAGAAGGAACTGTCATCAAGTAGCCAGCTATCTTTATGCAGCCCAGCTTCAAACTGGCCGCAGAGAGACGACCGCTGCAGCACAGCAGCAGTTCTACTGTGTCCTCTAGGATCCATGCACACACCCGTATCTTGGATGGTCACTTGCCAATATTTAAGACCCCAGGCAATATGCAATGAATTAGGAAGTAGGCCAGAAGCACTAAAATGATACTAGGCTACTTAACCAAGGGTTGGGACTGCCTGGCTCTTATCTTGGGTACAAATCAAGAACTGAACCCGGAACTTGTTTCTGAGACAGAAAGTTGAATATAACCAGATATCTGCCTGAGGATTTGCATACAATTATGAACTTGGGTCCTTCAATTAAATTTCAACCCGGGCAATCAAACGGGGCCATCTGAGAATCATGATGGGTGTAGAGTGGTTTCTTAATCCTTGCTTTTGCTGGCTTTGAAACACATTGCTTGGCTGTGGAGTATGAAAGGTTAAACCTCTGCTCTTTTTCCAACTTTCTTCAGTTGGCTGCTGTCAGCAGAGAGTGGAGCAGCCTTCTTTGTCTCAAGGTCCAGTGGGAACTGCTGAGAAGAGAGGTGATCTGCAAGGGGAATGCAGGGAATCCCAATTTTGTTCAGGTTTCAAGGACAGCCACGGACATACTCAAGAATAAACTATATAATAGTAGCAACGATAAGGTTATAACCTTATCATTTGACTCCCGTCTGACCAATGAAACCCCACGAGATCTCAGGCCCCCAAAGCTGGAAATATGTTTAGGAAGGAGGAGACTACTTCCACTGCCTACAACCTTGGGCTAACATGGGACGTCCCCCTCACCCCAATATCCAAGATACATCACTGCCCTGCTTCCAAGCACAGTGAGTTTTTTGGGGGGGCTCTTACAAATCTTATAATAATCCATCATTCAATTGTATTAAGCATAGATATATATATTGCTATCAACAT